CCACTTGCTGTCTGGTGAGGAGCAGAAGCAAACTGTTCTCATGTTCCATAAAGCACTGCGACTGCCATTTAAGTGGTCCTTTGTGACGGGGCACTCCCGCCCCGCACTCAGAGCGCGCGGGGGGATGCCGGGCGGACACACCGGGGGGGGGAGAGCCTGGACAGGCCTGCCACGTCAGGCTGCGCGGACGCACCAGGACCCGGTGAGGGGAGCGCCGGGAGGCAAAGGGCGCCGACAGACAAGGCCCAGGAGGGAGGGGCCAGGGAGGCACGGGCTGATGAGGTCACAGGGGAAAGGAGGCTAGGGAGCGTCGCAGAGGAAGTGACGGACAGGGGGAGCGGAGCCGGCGGGGGATTTAAACCTGGGGCCGGCACGGCGAAGGGGGAGGAGGTGAATGGAGCAGCAGGAAGGGAGAAGAAGGGAGAGGTGAGACGGTATAACGCGGGAGAGGCGGGCCGGGAGCCCTGGTGGAGTAGGAAGCGGCCCAGGGCAGGGTCGTGGAGCCCGTGAGCGGGTGTGTTTTGGGGCATTTCCCCCATCCGCTAGGGAGGGACCGTGGGTCCCTGCCTTTAGGGCCCTGGGCCGGGGTTCGGAGAGGGGGTGGGCCCGAACCCCCCTACTCCGCTGACCGACGGATCCAGCTCGGGTGAAGGCGCAAGCAAGCGCAATAAAGGGCCATCGGCCGTGTTGTTGACTCTCTGTGACAGACTAGTTTACATATGTATTTTCTCTTTATTTAACAAAACTGGGGGGAGGGAATGAAACTTTGGTGAGACTGGGGAAAGGAGGTAGGAGAGGGGAGAAGAGAGGATGGGAGGGAAAGGGAGCTGGGAGGAGGGAGCTGGAAGGGGGAAGCAAGGGGGAGGAGGGGGGGGGGGGCAAACCTGCTCCTTGGTTCCCATGTGGCCTCTGGTGGCCAGGCTGGCAGCTATCCTGCCATAGACGGCCGCGTTCCTCCATCTAGTGCGGAGATCATGGATGTTGGACGCATCCCCCCCAAACCTGATTAAGGTCTGTGATCGCCACCCTGGACCAGAAAGGTGCCTGCCTTCTCCGGGCCCTGGCAGACTCCTGGGAGCTGGCAGACTGCTCCTGGGGAGCAGTGGAGGGCTGGCTGCCGGTAGCTTGCTGGCTCATGTTTTGGGGCCACAGGGTCAGGGGCAGTGACTGCTGGCTCTGGGCTGACAGGCTTGAAGCTGGCACAGGCAGCTACCCTTTTAAGGGCTCTGGGGAGCAGGAGCAGTGTTCTTGGTTGAGGCTGGAGTGGCCACCAGGGCACCCTGGGAAGGCTGGAGGCCCCCTATTTCAAGATAAGTGTCTACACAGCACTTATTTTGAAGTAGCTTTTTCGAATTTGGTGTTATTCCTTGTGGAATGAGGTTTACCAAATTTGAAATAAGAACTCCACTATTTCTAATTAATTTCGAAATAGCGGTTTGGCTGTGTAGATGCTAGTAAAGTTATTTTGAAATAACGGCTCTTATTTCAAATTAACTTTGCTGTGTAGACGTACCCAGACACATTTATTTGAGGGTTGGCTTCCTGGATGCTGCGTCCTAGAACTGTGCCCTCCCAGAGCAGAAGTGGTTCAGTGTCTGCATTGCTCTTCAGGGGGGCAACTGTTCCTTGCCTGGAGCAGACAAGACAAGCAGGAAAGGGTGGTAGGGATCCCCAGAGAGCAAGAAGGCAGGTGTCAGTGGCACAATCAGTACACTGGAGAACAATCCCAAGGGGTATTCTGTGACTGCAGCCTGTCACACAAGTCACCATAGCTGGAACAGAAAGGAGCAGTTGTTATCTCTAGTCCAGAAAGGCCCTTGTTTCTCCAAGAGAATTATCATTGAGGAAGGGCAGGCATTTTCCACACTGCTTGTCTCTTGTGGAATTCTGCTCGTTCCACTTACTGTTTGGATCCCTTAGCAGTGCAGAAGATGCCCTGAATTGGCACCTCCCTGGCTACCCCAGACATGTCCTTGCCTGAACACCACCACTCACCTCTGGATTAGGAGATGTAAGCGACTGGTCGACTAGTCCCTTGACTAGTCGCTTTCTCCCCCCTTGCTGCCTTCATAGGGGACCCAGCACAAGCCGGGCGAGCTGATTCCTGGCTCGTGCAGGGTCCCCCCTGCTGCGCTTCAGCCTTTTAGCTGTGGCTCTGCTGCTTATCGACTAATTGACTAATAAATGTATTAATCTGCTGGCCCGGCTTACTCTGGGTCCCCTTAAAAGCCAGTTCCCCCCTGCACCATCTCTGCGGGGGGGGGGTAGGGGAGTAGTGGGGACCATGCACGATCTGAGAATCAGCTGATTCCTGGCTCGCTCCCAGTCCCAGATGCTGCAACTTTTAGCTGTAGCTAAAAGGCTAAAGCACAGCAGGGGGTACCCAGCACCAGCCGGGCCAGCTGATTTCTGGCTCACGCAGGGTCCCTCCTGCTGCACTTTAGCCTTTTAGTTGCGTCTCCCCTGCTTATCGACTTCATTGACTAATAAATGTATTAATCAGCTGGCCTGGCTCGCTCTGGGTCCCCTCTGTTCCGTTTTAGTTTTAAAAATGTATTACTAGCCTGTCAGCTCTTAATACATTTAAAAGACAGAGCCACAGCGGGGATAGCTCCCAGGGTCAGGAGCTAATCCTGCTGCGGCTCCCCTGCTTATCGACTTATTGACTAGTCGATGGAAAATCCATTGACTAATCCATTCATTAATTAACCTACATTTAACATCCCAACTCTGGAACTACACAATCCCCCTCCATCCCGCCATGAGCTGTGTGCTGCTGAAACACTTCCTTTAAGCTGACTTTCTACCAATGAGAGGGATGAGATTAAACAAATCAAGTTTCTCAGAGCAGAGGGAGTTTATACTACTTCGTATTACTGTACAGTACATTAGTAAAAATAGGTCAGTTAATCAATATCACAGTACAGTATCTCTGGAAATTGGGGTTTTAGAGCACAAGATTCATTTTTACTTTAGATTAATAGTGAAAAATTGCGCACATCTCACAAATATACCATTTGTCATAGCAAAATGATGCTTATTTAAAGATGACTCGGGCTAAATGAGTACATTAGTAAGTACTACTCCATGAAGTAGAGATTTGCAGGATCAGCTCATGATATGTAATGTCTTCTCAGAAGACCGCACAGGCCATCCCCAGGATAAGTATAGTATGCCATGTCTTACCAGCCTGTCATTTCCATGGGTGCTAGACTCATTCAATTTCGTAGAAAGCTCCCTAAAATATTGTGTCTAGCCTTTCATTTGACTCTTCAGAGCTATAAATATATTCAGTAACACACTACATTTACTGTATATCTATTATAATATTATACGTCTGTCGGTGAGTCTGTCTGTCTGTTCAAAAACTCCTCCTAAATGGTAAGAGCTAGAGCTAGGACTACTAAATTTAGCATCTTGATCCCTCTTATTATAATTTAAGTAAGGGTTTGGTGGTGCCAGGAAAATTGGATGTGCCTGGAATGGGATTGCTTCTCATAAAAACCATACAGAAAAGAGATAACATCACCAGGGGGATTAAAGGGGCTTGCTGGAGCACTATCCCAGTTATGAGCCTCTCACTCATAGGCTCCCTTTAGGAAGAGTGGAGAGGGGGCTGCAACTGTCCTCCTCCCTCCCTACACCCCAATTTGTACGGGAACATTGATAGCTGTTCCCCTTCATCAGGTTGCAATGGGAAAGTGCACAGTTTGCTCCATTCCTCACTCTGGCTGGGGAGCATAGAGGCAGATTAATTTCGACCTGCTCCAGCCAGGGAACATGCACCCCTCCCCCAGCTGTGCCTCCTGGGGGTGTAGCAGCTAAGGAGATGCACTTCTCATCTGGTCCCAAGTTGCTGCAGTGAGAGAGGGCTGGGGTAGTCCTGTCTCCCTACAGCAGCCTGTATATTGAACTCTTTCCTCCCTCCCCCCAGCAATGATTTAAATGAAGAAGAACAAAAATTAATTGAGTTAGAGACCCAAGCAACACAGGATAAATCTTCTAGATCTTAATTAATAAAGCTAAAATATATGATGGGTTGCCTTAGGAATCTTCTAATGGAGAAGAATACTCAAGCATCTATGTTAATGTATTGCAACTGTATTTATCTTAATGCCATGTTTGTTTTAATTTATTGTGCAGAATTCCTGTGTATTGTGTGACTTAGATGTGGTGGATCTAAATGAAAGTAAGAAAAAGAAAACTTGCTGCCAACTGTGAAATGCCACCAGCACTTCTATTTTACTTCAGGAAATGTTAACTTTTTTATAGGAATACACAAAGGTATTAAAATTAATTTGTTTATTTAGGCAATTTCTGTATTTTATAGAAATCTTGCTGCTGTTATATGAATGTACTGTTTCCAAGTTTTTTAAAGTGAAATTAAGTTAATTATTTGAACTTAGGACTTTTATGGCCAGGACAGTGGGAGTATTCATATATGCCAGTGTTTGCAGGAATGAGACCTAAATGTACAATTCTTCTTTTGTTGAAGTTAATATCTGCCTTAAGTTTTTTTCCTTTGTCAGTCTCTTGACATAGTGAACCATTCAACAAAGGCCCCTCACACATGCAACCTCTGATGTAAGTGATGGGTTTAAAATATTCCCAAGGTTTCCAATACAGTATGAACTGAGTTTGTTAGAAATAATATCAAATACATTAGTGACCATAACTGAGATTCTGCCAGTCCCTAGACCCTAGAATGGTCACTTAACATACTTTTCTGGATAGCGCTTTTTTCTTTTTTTGGGGGGGGAGAGGGGGAGAATAGAGAGGTTGTTTGGATTTTTTTCCTATTTAAAGAGTTTGTATTGTTTTGTAATACCAATGCAAAATGAAGTGTAACTGAGGACCAAAAGAAAAACTTATATAATGTACATATGTAATATAGACTTTAGAATGAAGAAAAAACAAGTTAATAAATACAAATTTTATACTGATGTTACATACTGTATAGAATATCAAATAATCAGTGCTTATTATGTACTGGACTCCATGTGCTAAGGAAAAGACTTCATCCTGTTACACTTGGACCTATGCATCTTCTTAATTTGTACATCAGAACAATGGAATGTTTCCAGTGGTCAATAGATAGCTGATAAGATGTTTTATAAAATAATTATAATAGATATTTTCAATATATTTAAGTTTTCTAATGTTGTTACCAATTTGTTCTTTTATATTAGATTATCTGAATATTAATAAAGGTATATTTAGGGTTAATTACATTTTGTGGCTTTTTAAATCTTTACTGTCACTTTATCCCAGTACAAATACATTGAGAATCTGATTCTTCTCTCACTTGAACCTATTTTGTACTAGTATAATAACACTGGGCTTCAGTGGAGTAACTCCTGATTTATACAAGTATAAATTGGAACAGAATCAGATCCTATGTGTTTATTTTAGTTAAGAACAACCACATCACACTGCACACGCACATGAATTAAATAAAGAACATTAAGCTGAAGGAGTGTTATTGATATATTTCTGTTCGGTTATAGTATTTGTCATGGAGGTTATGTCTCCCCAGTTGATTATTAATTTAATTGGGTATACCATCCTTTATGAATGAATAAATATTTTGCCAAATTTTGCTATCAATTACACCAATAAAAGTCCAGAGTAATGCAGTTGGTTTGTTGTTCTGAGTTATCATTGGTGTAAATCAGGGGTAGGCAATAATTTTTAATGGGGAGCTGCTTCAAGATTTTGGTAGTGTTCGAGGGCTGCACTTCTATGGTGGGTGCAGGGTATGGGACTGTGGGTGTAGAAGGGAGCTTGGGTTAGAGGACTGTGGTGCAGGAGGGGATGTGGGGTCTGTGAGGGAGTTTGGAGGGAGTTATGATCTGGGGCAGGGACTTGAGGTGCAGGGTCCAGGAGGGGGCATGGGTGCAGGAGAGGATTCTGGCTTGGGGAAGGAGTGTAGGAGGGGGTGCAGGGTCTGGGAGGATGTTGTGACCTGTAGGAGGTGGGGAGAGGGGATACAGAGGGTTTGGGTGGTGACTTGAGGCAGGAAGTTGGGAAGAGAGAAGAGGTGGGATGCCAGAGGCCGGGAACCTGAGACAGGCTCCATTCCTGTCTGCTGGGTGGGCTGCTCCACGTGGGAGAGAGGAGGCTTCTGGCCAATAGGAGCTGAGCGAATTTGCCAGGGGGCAGGGACAGTGAGTGAAGCTTCCCTGTCCCTCCCCAGCTTCCAGAGTAATTAGCCAGCAGTGCAAGCTGCTGTATAGTAAGGGTGGCCCGCAGGCGGATTTAGCAGCTTGGCAGACCCAATCCTGCCCACTAGCTGCCTCTAGCCCACCCATGGTCTAAATGAAAACAGAATTTGGATGAAAAACTGTAAACAAATGTCACCAAATACTGCTCTGGTTACCCCAATGAGCCCTCAGGCTCTTGTGCATTTTAAAAGGAAAGTGCACAGAACACAGGACCAGCAGGGGACTCAAGCAGTCCCCCACTGGCTCTCGGCACACTTTGCTTTTGAAATGTACAAGAGCCCCCTGGGACTCTTGTTCATTTCAAAAGCAGGGAACATGGGGCAATGGGGTACTGCTTGAGACTCCGCTAGTTCCATGCTCCCCGTGGCACTTCTGCTTTGGAAATGGGGCAAGATCCCTCTTGCTCCATTTCAAAGGCAGACACGCTGCCAGTTTCCCACTGTTCCCCTGCCCCCTCCCCTTGAGACGGTTCTTCACAGGCTCATGCTCCCCCTCCCTTGTTGCCTCACTCTGATAGGGCTCTTTCAATGTACAGTAGAACCTCAGCATTACGAACCCCTCAAGAATGGAGGTTGTGTTCCTAACTTAGTAACGTTCAGAACTCTGAACAAAACTCTGTGGCTGTTCTTTCAAAAGTGTGCAACTCAACATCGACTTAATGCAGATTTGAAACTTTGCTATGCAGAAGAAAAATGCTGCTTTCCCTTTTTTTTTAGTAGTTGACATTTAACATAGCACTCTGCTGTAAATGTTTTTGTTTTGTCTCTGCTGCTGCATGATTGCATATTTCCAGTTTCAAATGAGGAGTGCAGTTGAATGATCAGTTCATAACTCTGAGGTACTCCTGTAAAATATAAAATTTGCAGGCAGCTTGAGAATTTCTGATTAACGTTGGGATAAATTCCAGAGGTTTTCCTCGTTCTTCTCCCTCAGGGACTTCAATGATTCTAAGATTGTTTCTGTGAAATCTGCCTTCCAGATCAGTCAATTTAGCTTTAATTAATTTTATATCCCCGAAGTGTATCTCAATGTGGGCAGCCATGCCTTGCATTTGATCTACTAGTGATTGTAGCTTTAATTGCCAGAGCGTTGGCAGCCACTTTCTGAGCAGAGTCAGCATACTCTCACTCTCCGCAACGGTGGACATCTTAGCTGAGGTGTCAGGATCTCTTTTGGGGGATTTGCAGATCGAAGAGGAGCTTGCCATTGCTACTAGAAATGATCCTGTGGTACTAGCAGAAGTTCAGGTCAACAGGTTTTGGCTCCCAGAGGTGAAAAGGATGATGTCTAGCAGTAGAAGGGGCAGGATGTTGGTAGATAGCCCCAGCACACTCAGGAATTCACTCTGACTCCCTTGAAGTGGCAACCACGGGTTCAATGGCCTTTTTTGGACCCCATGGGTCTACCACCAAGCCCAGGGATCCCCCTCTACGGACATGTTGCTGGTGTCGGCATTGCAAGCCCCTCCCTCTGCTCTCTGACAGACACTGTTGTCTGGGTGGCTGGGAATGTGCAACTGCTAGTGCAGTATCCAAATGTGGCACCAAGGTCCCCATCAAGGGTGCAAGGCCTGGCACCGAGGCTCCCTCCCTGGTGCATGTGGTACTTGTGCAAACCTTGGCTTCAGCTCCAGCACTGACCTCGGCACCAACACCAGCACTGGAAATTTTGGTGTGTTGAGTGACTTCAGACTCGCTAATAGGGAAGCTGGAGGCCCAGGAAGTCCTTGTCTTGCAGGCTTCCTCATCCTCATCCCTGGATGAGGCCATGGCTAGTACTTCAACCACCATACTTCCTGTCTTGGGCATAGAAGGCCACCAGGACCTCTGAAGGCGGGAGGCTCAGAACCTCAGACTATAGGCACAGGAGATTATGGGAAATCCTCACCTCCAAGGATCTCTCCAGAGTAGCCTTCTGATTCATCAAAACTGTCCAAAACAATAAGGTGTTGTGGCATACCCCCCACAGCTAAAGGGGTTGAACTCCGATACACCTTTTCACGCACTCACAACAGGGATCCCTTGTGATGGATGCAGTAGATCACAAGGAACATCAGAAAGTGAAAAAGCTAGACCACTTTGAGTGCAAGGTCTATTGCACAGGAGGTCTACAACTGTGGGTGGCCAACCAGCAAGCACTGCTGAGCCAGAGCTTGTTTAACTCTTAGAGGCCCTTGCTAGATTCCAGGAACTCCTCCCTGCAGACTTCCATCAGGAGTTTGCCACCCTGGTTGAGGAGGGCAAACTGGTCTCTAGGACCTCCCTTCAGGTGGCCTTGGACTCAGGGGGATTCAGCCGCCCGTACGATGACTACAGCTCTACAGAGAAAGGGCTCATGGCTGCAGGTTTTAGGCATTCCCCTGGAGAGCCAGACTGCCTTGCAAAACACCACACCCCCCCCCCCCCCCCCCCACACACACACACCTTCCCAAAAAAAAAACCACTGGGGAAAAATTCTGTTGAAGAAAAAAAAGGGGGGGAAGACCAAAGTTATTGAGCAAAAAAAAAGGACTCCAAGACTTATTAATAAAAAAAAATTAAAATAAAACAGCATGTCCCCTTTAAGAATGAGTGCAGGGATAGGAACAGGGGAGTCGTTGAGCACAAGACCCAGGGGAGTCATTGCTTCCCCTTGGTCCTTTTGCTGGCAGCCATTTTGTGCTGACAGCCTTGCGGAACCAGGTAAGCATGAAGCCTGGGGGCTGGAGGAGGCCGGGCACTGAGTGTTTATAGGGTTGCCAGGTGCCCAGCATTTTCGCCTCCTGGCTGGGGAAAAAAATCAGAAAATACCGGACGTCTTAAGTGTCTGGTATTTTCTGAATTTTTTTTTACTGGACAAGAGGTGAAAATACCGGGCTATCCGTGTGAATACCGGACACCTGGCAACCCTACTTGCAAGACCTTCCCTTGGACTGTTCTGGGCTCTTTGTGAAAATCAAGGATTCTCACCTCCACTGCCTGAAGGACTCTAGGGCAACTCTCAAATCCCTGGGGATCCATACTCCTGCACCCTAGAGAAAATCATTTACACTGGGGCTATGTCTACACTGGCATGATTTTCCGGAAATGCTTTTAACGGAAAAGTTTTCAGTTAAAAGCATTTTCGGAAAAGAGCGTCTAGATTGGCAGGACGCTTTTCCGCAACAGCACATTTTGCAGAAAAGCGTCAGTGGCCAATCTAGACGGGCTTTTCCACAAAAAAGCCCCGATCACCATTTTCGTGATCAGGGCTTTTTTGTGGAAAAGAAATCTCTGCTGTCTACACTGGCCCTTTTGCCCGAACGGGAGCAGCATAGTATTTCCGCAAAAAGCACTGATTTCTTACAGTAGGGAAGTCAGTGCTTTTGCGGAAATTCAAGCGGCCAGTGTAGACAGCTGGCAAGTTTTTCCAGAAAAGCTGCTGATTTTCTGGAAAAACTGGCCAGTCTAGACACAGCCTGAAGGTCCCAGCTTGCTCCTAGTCTGGGCATCCCAGGCAGGACTTGTCCAGGTACAGAGACTGGAATCACTGGTGGCATCAACCTCACTCCAACTCAGGCCATGACCAGGGTCAGGGAAGCACTAAAAAACCTCCAGGCTCCAAACTCAACTTTTGATGGTGTACCTGAGCATGGAGCACCAGTTCTTAAGCCAGATCCATTCCCCTTTGGCAACCACTTGCCCCACTTCTGCCATGCCTGGGCCCAGATTACTTCAGACTGCTGAGTTCTGAGCATGATGGAAGCAGGATATTTTATCTAATTCTACCCCTTCCCATTGTCTTACACCCCCATCTCGAGTCCTTTTCATCAGCTTCGCATGCAGGAGAGGCACATACTCCTCACACTGGGTGCTATCGAGGAGGTCCCCAGAGAGTTCAGAGCAAGGGGTTCTACTCCCAATATTTCCTCATCCCCAAGGACAAGGGTGGGCTCAGACCCATTCTGGATCTGCAAAACCTCAACACCTTTAGCAGGAAGTTTAAGTTTTGAATGCTTTTCCTAACCAGCATCAGACCCTTCCAGATTCAGGGGACTGGTACGCAGGGGCAGATGAGGATTTTGCGGGGCCCAGGGGAGCACAATTTCACGGGGCCCCCTCTTTGACATGGCGCATGCGCGGGGCTTCTTGAAGCGTGGGGCCCGGGGTGGCTGCCCCGCTCACCCTGCCCTATATCTGCCCCTGCTGGTACACTACCCTCAACTCCATATCTCTATTATCCCAGCTTATAGACAGTTTCTCAGGTTTCTGGTCAAGGACCAACACTACGAATTTACAGTGTTCCCATCTGGCGTCTCCACAGCCCCCCTGGTATTCACAGAATGCATAGCGGATATGGCAGCCTTTTGGATAACTGTCTAATTAGGGGCAGGGCCAGAGAATAGGTTCTGGCATACCACGGCAGAGACCTGCATGTGGACCTTGGGCCACATGGCAGCCTGAA